CAGTACACTCAGTTTTTTAGTGCTGCAGGGAGACGTACCCAGACCTCATGGCAGAGTTGATCCTCACCACTCCTCTTCCCTTTTTTGACAGAAATAGGACCAGAGAGTCACCCTACAGAGCCATTGCATTAAAGATCTCCTGGCTGTCTGTATATTGGAGTGAAGGGGAACCTGTGCCTCTCTTATCCAGCTTCCCTTTCCCACTATCTTCCCTAACACTCAGTTTGTTTTCCCACCTTGCTGTTTCAGGATGAACGAGGAGCAGATCGCGACCGTGTGCTTGTCAGTGCTGAGAGCTCTGTCCTACCTGCACAACCAAGGTGTCATCCACCGTGACATCAAAAGTGACTCCATCCTTCTCACCAGCGATGGGAGGGTAAGCACTAAGCCTATCCCTTGCCAACTCTCAGGGCTGGCCTGAAAATAGCTTCTAAGTGACACTGCCTGAAAAAAATTGAGCCAGGAGTGTGAAACCACGGGGCATGACCTGTGAACAACTTGTTAGAGAGTGTGAATTACTTGTTAGAGAGTGTGAATAATTTGTTAGAGAGCTGAATCCAAAAAGCACAGGCCTGGCCTGGCTGGTGACTGACATCTGCATTGCATGTAGAATCCATGAGGGGTGATTTGAGCCATCAAAAGGCAGGAGCAGAAGAAACTACGCAACATAGGTGATGGTTAACGTGACAGGAGGTGATGGGAGACTTTCTTTCAGGCTGAACCACTCCTGCTGTGATGCCTCTCAAAAAATATTTCCTTTTTACTGCATTTAGTTATCCTAGCAGCTTCTATACGTGTGCTCTCTTTTCCCCAAACTAGTTAAAAGGCTAGCATCAATCAATGCAAATAGGAAATAATCTGCATTAATGCTGAACCCTCCCCTGAAGGTGAGAGTAGCTTTTTCCATAGCTACATTTACAAGTTGCTTGATAATGCCTGTCCCACACTTCCTTTTCCTTGAATGGGATGCTGCTCCCAGTGAATTGGTCTGTCTTCGTGTTGTTAATGAGCAGGAACAGAGTGGGACAAAATGCTGCACATGGCTTGCTCAGTAAGCAGACTTAGTTTGCACACAAAAAATTGCTCCACTGGCATTACACAACTGTCTAAAGCAAGACTTCACTGGTTGGACTGAGCCCAAGAGCAGCCTGTTAGTCTGGAACCAAATCTAGACCTTCTTCACTTTCAGAAGGTAAAGCCCTTGGCTTCCCAGGCCTGGTTTGATTCCCTAGCCGAAGGCTTACCTGTATAATTTGAGGCTCACTTCAGCAAGGGAGATTTTCTTCCTGCTGCAGTCACAGGCTGCTCCTGTGAATCCTGTCAAGGAAAGAAAATCCCACATGTGTGGGAGTTTTTCAGTTGCGATTCCAATCCATGTTGCTGAAATAACATCTGATCTGCACTCAGATCTGCATACAGTGCCTCATTATACTCATTACTCCAGTACTTATTATCTGCATTGCAGATTTCTTCATGGCTCTGTTGTGCAATTAGCTTTTTTTAGAAAATCGTTGTCTTTTATGTACTCGAATGAGCAATAGATATGCAAAACCTTTTGTGCTCCTACAAAAGACGATTGGGCTCTGCTTCCAAAATATGCATTATGTCTTCCATTCTTCATCCTGTAAACTGAAAAATACATTTAACATGGAGAACTTGGCTATTACTGGCTTTGTTTTAGAAATAGCAACAATCATTTCATAATTCTGTTAAAAATAATACCCATAGCTTTAAAAAAAATGTCTGTACTGAATCTAAAAGAAAACAAATCAGTGCTGACAATAGGTCTACACAATGCAGGGATTTATGCAGCTTCCCACTCCAGTTGTCCTGGGGCTGTTTGGGTTTGCTTCACATGCCCAGGTGCTGAGTATGTGATGGGAAACACAACCTATGGACTTTGGGCATGGGTCATCACTGCACTGTGCAAGGGGTGATGGGGGTTAGGATAATGTTCAGGAAAACCCCTGTGATAGCTTGTAGACCTCTAAATAAATACTTGGGGGGGGGATAAAAAGACGTCAGCCTTAGGGAACAAGCTGTTTCTGGAAGGGGGTGATGCCACCAACACTCAGATCAACTTGTTTTGGTTGGGGGTTGGAGGAGTTTTCACCTTGGCATTGTACAGTGACAGGGAGGGAGAGGTGATAATGTTCCATAATTTTTGTTGTTTAAAAAAACTGGCATAAAAGTATGAGCCAGGCACATGATGCAGCAAGAGCTGCTTTCTGGAGTGCTTGTGTATCCCATTATTTCTATTTCAGGTCACTGCCACAGCTACTCAAGGACAGGACTAATTCCTGAGTTCCCAAGCAAAGGGAGCAGGTCCCATTAAATCTCTTTTGGGAGAGTCTTGTACCCTTTCCTGCCTTCCCCGAATGAGCTCTCCTGCTGCATGAAAATGACAGTTTCTTTAGCGATAGTCCACAGTGTGAGGTCCTGGTCTTGAAAAACCATTGGGTTTTGCTGTCTGTGGGTGTTGGATCATGCTCTTGGTGGTCAAAGGGCAGGGGGTGAATGCCACTTATTCCATCTGTTTTCTGGCAAACTCAGATTGTATACCTGATAAAAATCACAGCAGTGTGTAGCACTTGAAATATGCATATTACTGGCTATCAGCATGCAAACATAACTGCAAACATGGGGTCTGTAGAAATGCAATAATAGATTCATTATAAGACACTGTTTTCCTTCTATTTTTAAATATTATGAGCCATTTATCACCTCCGCATCTTTTGCTGGTGGAGAGGCAATGAGCTGTGACAGATGATATTAGTAATGAGCACCACTGCCACTATCCTATAGCTTTCCCTTGCCTTCATTTTAATGAGCCACACATTCCCCAGGCTGTGTTCCCATCTCCAGACACAATTCCAAAACTGTGCTGCTGTCCTGTCCCAGGCAAACGCTGCAGCTCCATCCCAGTCCCTCCAGCTGCAGCTGGAGGTGTGTGTCTCAGAGGCACATGTGTCTTGGAGGAATCTGCCTTGTTATTCAAGAGGGGCTTCAATTTCTTTTTCAGATAAAATTGTCTGACTTTGGCTTCTGTGCCCAAGTGTCAAAGGAGGTTCCCAGGAGGAAGTCACTAGTTGGGACACCGTATTGGATGGCGCCGGAGGTCATATCCCGCCTGCCCTACGGCACCGAGGTGAGTGCAGCCAGAGGTGATATCCCACCTGCCCTGCAGCACTAGGTGAGTTCAAACAACTCCATTCAGCACACTGAACAGGGTAATGCCTCGGCTTAAGATGCTGTAGCAAAGGAAACTTAGCCTCATTGTCACATTGTGAAAGACCATTTGATGCACTTTAATATCGAGCCTGCAAGCTGGAGCTGCAGTCACAGGTGTCCACACCTGCATATACCAAACCAGCAGCATGCCTGGACCACACAGGCAGGTCACACCAATATTTGCACAGAGTCACTTTGCTCTCATCCAGCTAAGGCGTGAGATTTCCTTCCTCTGGAGGAGTGCCAGCAGAGGCACAGGTCCTGCAGGGTGCCAAACACAGGAGCCAGCTGGGTGGGTTGGATTGCCACCCTCTGTGGTAGCATTTGTCTCCACATCGGCTCATTCCTTGCAGTCATTGCTCTCATTAATTGAGAAATGGGGGTAGAAGCAGCACGTCTGTGGGAGCTATGTCAAATGGTCTGAAAAAGGCAAATCACACATTTTTATTGGAACCCTTCAGAGGAGAGCAGAAAGGTGGGGACCCAGCAGCACTGCAGTGCGTACCCCATCCATTAGGAAGCTCTGACTCACAGCTCTCCTGCGCTGGCAGCCTGGGAAGAGCAATCCCCTCTCCAGCGCTCAGCCGTGACAGTGACTCACGCCTCCCCAGCTGGAGACGTGGCTGCCTTGGCTCCTCTGCGTGGGGAGAGCAGCTTCTGCCTGATAGTGCTGATAGTAACAGCTGCAGAGAACAACCCTGCCAGGCAAACAGAGCCAGAAATACAGATATATTTACACACAGATACACATATATACATACCCATATAGAAATAT